TGACTTTGTTACATCAACAAGAGTACAATTGGTCACATGTACAACTTTAGTCATTGTTTAATTAAGGGCTTCGCTATACTATCTATAGTTATCCACCAATTGCTATATCTAGAATCTGCTTGTGAATTTTTTATTTAAACCCTCTGATCGACTTAGCACTATCAGATGCTAAATTCCTGCCACTAAGACCCTTAGGACTACTTTATCCTCGTAGTAAACCCAAGATATTAGTATTTTAAGTTATACTTTTAATAATTATAGAATTTAATTAAAGTTGAAGATTCTGATGAAGAAAGAGTAACCAAAAAACCAAAAATCAAAAAAGATGATCACTTACCAAGAGAATCGAAACTTTCTTATGATGAAGTTGAATTGGCTAGTATTATCTCTCAGCTTTGTTTCAAGTACCAATATAGTATGTATAGCACTCTGTGCTATATAGAGAATAATCTGCATCTCCCCTTTACACCTTTACGTCTTTATTTATAGTCTAGAGATATAGTTAGTATAATCTTATTTTTAGATATATTTTAATGAATGCATATTGATATATGTAATTTGATTTTACTTACGTATGTAGAAGGCCAAAATTATTGATATAGAAACACCACCCACATATCTAACTTTTGGGTTGACTAATGCACTTAAACCTAATATACAAATATCACAACCACAATCACAGTCTACTACTACAGATACATCTAATTTAATTTCAGCTCTTCATAAATATCTTGAACTTCTTACAAATGCTTTGAATAGTTCAACTGAAAGTCAATAATAGATTTTGTAGCATTATTTGTAATCTGTATGCATTTATATAGTCAAATAGGTGAAAAAAAAATATTAATTTGATAAAATACTGTATAATGAATTTACTGTAAAAGATTATATAAGAGATTCTCCATATATTAGATTCCTTATGAATTAGACCTGTATATGAATCACAGGATCTCTATTAATAAATGCAAATATTTTTAAAAACTTAGACTGCTTATTATAAATGCAAAGTATATTTTAGAATTATCTTTGCTACAATATAAATGCTCAGCTATGTACTAGACCCAGGTCTACTATAGGTTTTAAAATCAGTAGAATGTAATGGGCCCAGGTATATATAGTATTGTATATTATAGA